TAGTTGCCACGAGATGGTAAACCTGCAGGTTAAACGTCAGTGTTTTGTCTACCACTTCTCTCCCGAATACCTAATGGTGCGTGTATTCTGAACACGGGAGCTATGGGAGGACTCATTATGCTTAGAAGCCTACATGCCATCAATGTAGGCAAATATCCAATTAATCCTAAACTGAATATCCTGAGTTGCCTAACAGATTAAGCCACTAACTGACTTAATCTTCCACTTGCACCACAACCACTTAATTAATACAATATATTATAATATATTATATTAGGAAAAATACTTACATTCTCCCACTTGGTGCAAGTACTGGCACAACCTTCATTAAAGAACAAAACACATGAACCATAGTAATACGTCCTATACTAATCAAGTGAGTAATATCTTCTATGATCACATGCATTTTAAATTCCCTAACTTAGGTTCTTTATGAACAAACCCTACATTCATTCTTAGTCCCTTAATGGATGTTTCTCAAAATATATTATGTGCACAACTGAAGGAAGAAACCATCCAAATTCACTGATCTCTAAAATCTTAGAAGCATGCCTTAAGTAGAGATCTCTTAATGTTAGCATAATGCTAACTATATTCTGTGACTTCTTTATAAGTTAACATAAGCACTATCTCTAACGGCTAAGAGCTTGGAGTTGACACGTCTGTCACTCCCACTCATTAAGATAGCCAAAAGATAGTCAAGTCACAGAAACATTCCAATAACATAAACCATAAGGTCTAAGTCAATAATTTGGAATCTTAAACATACACCAACTTCCCAAATAATCTTAAGGTCCACCTCGAAATTAACTAATCATTACGAGTCTTTATATGTCTTGCAAAATTGTTTTGAACCTTACAACCCAAAATGGCCAGGATCAATTTTGAAGAAACTAAAGACTCTATGAACTGCTAAAGAATTTATTAATTGGTAGTGCACCACAAGTTAAATGCTTTCGTTCTAATAAATTCATTAATATTGTTACAACATTTTCATAAATATGTTGTACAACCAAACGTTCAATGAAATGAACTTATGAATTATAAGAACAAAAACTAAATTAATACTTGTGAAAACTTTTGGACTTATTGTTGGACGCATAACCCAATTTGGAATGTATGAAAATAATTAAATCCATCAGCTTTAGTGGAGTATTTTAATGATCTTTTTCTAAATGATCACTCCCACTAATTAAGATATTCTTTAGCCAAATTAATGATAGAACACTCATAATTGATTTGACCAACTAAATAATGAAGATATAATTCCCCACCATTAGTTGGGCATACTAAATAATCAATATTTGGTTCCAATTATAGTCCAACTAAATGAATAATTAATGAGGACATGATTCTCCACCATAGTTGGACATACTAAAATATAAAATACGCCTTCCAAAACCAAGTTGTAATTTGGCTCAAAAGGATACATTTTATTATTGGAATCCAAAAGAGGTATATCATACCACGCAACTTACTATAGTTAGTCCAAATAACCAAGTAAGTTTCGTGAAAAATAATTAATAAAAGGTGTATCTAAATTTTGGAAAGTGACTAAATACATGTTTTGTCAATGCAAACCATGAAACTTAGAATTATAATTGAACTAAATTTATAAATTCTAAGAAAGTGAGAGAAAATTACTATCTAATGTGTTTGAATTTATTGACATAAAACGTGCGCTAAAGTTTTAATTCTATTAAATTCCATTTAAACATTTATGGTAGTATTTTATCTCAAATTACTAAATAGTCAGAAGAATCTAGTGACATAAAACTTGCCTGTGGGCTAAAGTTCTACTCAATTAGATCCAACTGAAATTTTGTGATGAAACAATTATCAAATGGGTTGAAGAATCAAGTGACATAAAACTTGCCTGTGGGCTGAAGTTTTAATTCAATTAGATTCATTACAACCATTATGACAAAAACTTAAGGATCATGTTCCTTTATCTTAATCCATGTGGGCAAATTAAGATATATGACCTAAAGTTTACATCATAAAATTAAGCTTCATGATAGAGATGAGAGTTATTCATAAAGTAAATAAAATTCTTTATTCCTATCATCACGATAAAACTACTAAACTACATTCCGTTGCCTGTGGGCTAAATTATGATCATAGTTCAGTATTTCATCCTAATTAATCATACAAATATAACGAAATTTCCTGTGGGCTAAATTCCATCATATTACATACAATTAATCATAATTGATATGTCTAAAACTTTATGTGACCCTAACAACTTAATATATAATTTTAACTGATTAAGGATGCTGTGGCTACTCCCCAACTAATTAAAATATTATAATAATTCATTATTGAATTATTAATGTAATATTATATTTATTAAATTATTGATGTAATATTATATTCTCAAAAGTCAAGTGTCCCTTAGAAAATATTATATTTCTGAATGGTCAGGTACACCTATATAAAGGGCCCTACCCCTTCAATTTTTGGAGGCAATCAGAGGCTAATCAAAGCCAATTAAAGGTCCTTTCAAAAAAAAAAACCCCAATTAAAGGGAAATCCAATTAAATGGAAATCACTACAGAAAACTCATTTCTTCCCTCTTTCCTTTTTTTTTTTTTTTTTTTGAAAACCTCTTTCCTTTATTTTCTTCCATACAATTTGTTCATATTTTCTTATTCTCTTTTCCACTCTATCGTAATCATCTGGCATCCAATTTCATCCCTATTGCATCTTTTTCCTACATTTATCAAATTTCACCAATTCAATTTCATACGTATAATAGTGTTAGCTTGCCGTTGATTATCCCGTAATGATAAAACTAATAATGACGAAAAGTAACTTCATGTATTGTAGCGTCAAAAGATTACATAATCACAAAGAAATTAATGAATTTGTAAATATTTTGCTGCAGGCAAAATATAAATATTTTTTAATTAATAGTCATAGATAATTAGGTATAATGTTTTCTCAACAACGTAACTATCACGTAGACTGTTACCAACATAACCTATAAAGTCGACTAGAGTGTAGTTGCTAACAAACAATTAGGAGATATATTATTATAGTACGCTCTATTACGGGAACTCTCAAATTCTACCCTGTGAAGTAAACTCCCTGGCAAGTTTAATTTGGATAGGACATTATCTTGTGAATTCCAAGTGTGGTTGTTCTTGTTGATGCTGGCTGATTGTTGTTGCCACAGTTCTGCCGGTTGTTGTATTGAAATTTGAAAATATCAAAAACTACACTCAAGAAAATGATGCTGAAAATCCAAAAAAAAAAAAAAAAAAAAAAAAAAAGGAGTGAAAAATATGTTGTTCTATTCGTGATCGAATAAGGTTGGAATATTTTGGTGAAAAATATGTTGTTCTGTTGGTGAATAAGGTTGGAATATTTTCGTAAAGTTGGGAATTATAGTGCAAATTGTTCTGAGCTTTAAGAAAGATTGCATGAGATGATGCTAATCCCCTGCCCGTTACCCACAGTTCTTCTAGATTCGTATGTGATAGAGCAATACACTATGGCCCTGTTTGATAAAATGGCTGTTAGCTGATAGCTGATAGCTGTTAGCAGTTAGCTGATTGTGTTAATTAGAGGGTATAAATAATTGATAACATTAGCTGATTGTAGAAAAGTGTTTGGTAAATTAACTGTTAGCTGATAGTTGTTTGGTATAATTTCTTTTCTCAAAAAGCTAATTGAAAAGGATGCTTGGAGTAGCTTTTTGAATTTTAACCTTTTGGAGTTGCAAAAAGCTAATTAACCAAACATTTGTATTGATATTTTAACTAAATCAAACAATTAATAGTGGTCAAATAAGCCAAAATTGGCCTATAGGCCAATTTTTTTACCAAACAGGGCATATGCTTACTTCCTAGTGAGCGAGTCACTCATTTTGTGATTGTTGTAAGTCAAACACGCTTAACTACAGAGTTTTTTTTTTTTTTAACTATCTGGTTGTTATATATATATATATATATATATATATATATATATATATATATATATATATATATATACTATTTAAAATCAATTGGTGATAAGTAGGTGGACATTAACCATTTAAACACATCTCTTTATGGTAAGCCACAACGTCACGTCTCGAATCAAGCAAAGACTGAACCTGGCGGATACCCAACAGTATGCTTGTGTGCTGCATGATTGACTTAGTGTTTTTGTGTGTCTTAGGGTTTTGTATGACTAAAAAGGGGAATTGGTGGTTATAGTTGCTATTCTACCTAGTTTGGCTTTACATATTTTGTCAATAAAAATGTTAAAAGGGGAAGCTTGTTAGTTTTTGTGTATTGGCTATTTTTATTATCAAAATATCTTTATTACCATGTTTATAAGAATACTGTGCCTTTTTTTGAATAGCAAGGTTCTAGACCTTTCCTAGTTTTGTTTATGGTAATTATGTTGCCTATATGGAGAAGAGGTATACTTTATGCATTAGGGTTTGGTAGTATAAGTGTTTTTTTTTTCTTTTTCTTTTTCTTTTTTTTTTTGAATTGTTGGTACGTCTTGAGACTGGTAGAAACCAAATGCTGGAGCAAAACAGTTACTCAAGGTATGTCATTCAACCATGGGACTATAGTCTATCCTTGAGGTATCGTGTTATGAGAACTGGTCAGACAGGTCAATAGCAACATGTGTTGCTATTCTTTCAAGGCAGAAGGGATTTTGCATCACGAGTTTAAACTCGTGACCATCAATTTTTAGCAATACTTTTGAACAATTTCAATAGATACCCACTAATACAAAATAGACCAAAGAAATTCTACTTTAAGCTAGGATAGTGTATTATTTAAAAAAAAAAGAACGGTGGCATAACTGTAATTAAATGAATAAGAAATCGCTACCCTTTCTAAAAGAAGGGTAGCGGTTTAAAAAAAAAAAAAAAGAAGGCGGAACGAGTTTCCGCTGCCCTTTCGCGTAGCAAAGGGCAGCGGAAACGATATTAAAAAAAAAAATTAAATTAAAAAAACCTAACCCTCGTACAGATTGAACGGGTTCTCCATCCTCTCACCACTCACATCTCACAACCAAGGCTTCTGCAAATCTCACACCCTCACCTCAGGGCCGACCTCGACTAACTCGATCACCTCACCGCATCTCCGGCGAGGACACGGCCTCGATCACCGTCACCGCCCCACGCCCTCATCCGCCGTCTCCACCACCACAGTGTCGCTGCCGCTGCTTCGATCCACCGCTCCAGCCGCTGCTTCGTCCATCAGGTAAGGTTAATTTTTTGGTTAATTTGTTTATTGTTGTTATTCGGCTAAAACCCTTAACACATCCAGCAACAATGGCATATACAGAACAAATTAAAAAAACCCAAGTTTCGATTGTGAATATATGCAATAATATCAATTGTGAATAGCATGCACTTAGATACACTATCATTTCAGTTTAATCAATTCATCGTCTCAGGTAGTACTAAATTGCATATGCAGATATTTTTTTATTTGGTTTTGGGTTTTTGCATCCTTTTATATATAACTGCATATTTTCCAGTAAAAGTTGCTACACTCCGTATCCTTTACTAAGATGCCATCTCCATATGCCTTCTTTTGGAACACCATATCTGCTACTCCATACCTCTTGTCTTTTCTAGGCTCTGGGTTTTTGCTTCTGGTGGTCAATGGTCATCAATGAATTGAGAAAGTTGAGTATGTGATGATGTTGCAGCAATTAATTGCCAAGAAAGCAAGCTTATATAAGTTTCAATTCCCATTTTCTTTGTCAGTTTGCTTGGCATCTCATTTTCCATTGATTTTGTTTGAAATATTTGCTAAATCTGTTTCCGTGACTGGGAATTTGGAGGGCTAAAACTAGATTGTGAATTGTCTTGAAGATATGAAAAACAACAGTTTCTTTTTTTTAGGAAAGAAAAGGAAGAATGTCTACCATCTTCTCTTTTTTGGGGAGGCATGAATGGGAAGGTGAGGGATTGGAGGTCTAATTTGATAATGTTGAATTAGAAGCCACTGGGAAGGGTTGTAGGAATGTATGAATTAATAATTGGTGATCGTGTTTGAGATTTGTGGTGATTAAGAAAAGAGTGAGATGTTAATAAAGTATGGTTGTTGTATGATATAGATCAGTTTGGGTTACATACATTTTGAGTAAAGTATGATATAGTCAAAAGTAATCGGTAGCATGTGGGGTGTTGCAACAATTTGTGTTGTTTAAACTTTTCTTCATTGTTGTGGTTGAGTATCAAACACAAGAAGTTTAGGGAAACTAAAGGTAGCCACAGAGCAATAGAGCATATGGTCTACACTGTACTAGTCTAGAATATTAGAGAGTACAAATTTCAATACTACGTTGCCAACTGTTTTAACAAGTTGATTGACTCATTGCCCATGAGGAAATATTAACCAGCAGCAGCTACAACTGCAATTCCATGTATCACTTTAGAGTTCTGGAGTTTGATAAATGTATCACTTTAGAGTTCTTTTCTTTCGTTTCTTATAAACAACACTCACAAACACATGCATAATTGGGCAGATGGAGGAAGCCTCAGGGGGTGGGTGAAAGCAACTTCCAAGAATCACTTCGCACATGTAGATGTATCTTGCTGAACAGGTAAATCATCTTCAACTCTTCAAATATAGTAATCTATTTGCTAAATCTGCATGCCTATCTGTGTCGGCTGCCCTTGATCTATGAGTTTATGAGTTAATACCCATTTTCGTCCCTCCGACTATTGAGTATTTTTAGTTAATCTCGACAATAGAGTGCATAATATGCATAAACTCTCATCTTCTAGAATTTATTTTTTCCATTGACATAAAGCAGTTGAGTAAGAGATGTTTCAAAGAACTACAGTGACTAAAGTCTAATTAATCACTAAAGTCTAATTAATGACTAAAGTCTTGGTCACTAGTAAGTCATGGAGATGATATTTTTTTTTGTGGGATAAACGGATAAGTATTTCGATTACGAAGTAAGTAATTTGATTTCAATTCGGTATTGTGGTTCCTGTAGCATATAGATACTAGTTTTTCTGCATCAATGTTATCCTATGAACTCACTGAACTTGTGTTTCGTAACAGAATTATACAGCAACAGATTTTTCTGCTCAATAGATTTGTTCGCTTTGTGAGCACTCCGGAGATCTTGGAACGGTTGCACACTATAGAATCTGAGATTATACAGATTGAAGAAGCAATCACCATACAGGGTCAGTTTCATTAATCCCTTTCTTTATTTGTCTTTGAGTTATTCCTCAATGCTGTTTGTATGATTTGCCACAAGCATACTATTTCTAAATTGGATCTCTATGTTATTCTTTATCCAGTTTTTATGCTCATCTGCCCCCTATATTTTTTAATTTCTTGAGTTGCACAGTGTGCATCTTTCATCATTAAGTAATCAATGTACTGTTTGACACCCAAAAACTTTTGACAGGTAACAAATCAACAACATGTGTTAATGAGGAGAAAGCTATTGGCTTTAACAAATCAACTCTCAGATGCATCCTTCTTAAATCAACTCAAGTGGACGTGGTGTACGCCAATTTAAAACTGCACTTCTGCATCGGCTTGAAAGGGTAAGTACCATAATGTGTAGTTCTTTTTGCAGAAATGCTATTCTATGCTTCCTACTGTTTCCTCTAAGGTTAGTGCTTGTTTCTATTTCAACATATTGAGCATAATGTGTTTTAATTTATTCATTTTTACTAAAATCTGGTACTCTGTATAAATACCATGTATACACTTTGCATTAGTTTTTTATAAATCAAAATCTAAGGGTCTGAATATGATGATGATGAATCACATATATATAGAAGAGTTTGGAGAAGATGACTTTATATTTGCATGCCAAATGAAATGAAATGGTGTTGCTACCTTGTACCGATCGATAATTATTTAAGGTGGCAAATGAATTGAACTGGTTCCCCATCACTCATCAACTGATCTTTAATTCAAAATGTAGATTATATTTCTTGTTTGGTGCCTTTCTCCCCTTGTTACTCAACACTAAATTCTATCACAATTGCATTGTTTCTCATTTGCAGGCCAGTAAGGATCAACTTCCTCAATCAGACATAATCAGGCCAATAAGGATCATATTTAGTAATTTGATTAATTAAATTATTTTGTAGGTATTTGAAGGAAATTCGTACTCTACCAATGAAATAGATGGGATTCGAGACTTATGAGCAAAATATTTTTTGGAAGAGTATGTGTAATTTTTGTTTTAGATTATATGTTATATTGGATTGATATAAAGTATTGTATTGATAGTATTTGGTTGAGTGTTGATAATATTGTTTTTGATAGTTTGTTGATAATAGTGTTGATGGTTAGTATTATCTTGATATGTAGTGCATGAAAATAGGATTTTTATAAAAATTGGGGCATTTAAAAATAAAAAATAATAATGAATTAAAAAAAAAAAAAACAATCCGCTATCCTTCTTTTGTAAAAAGCGCAGCGAATGCTTAAATAAAATAATAATAATAAAATAAGAAAATTCGCTACCCTTCTATATATAGAAGGGTAGCGGATATTCAACTTTCCGCTACCCTTGTGAAAGGGTAGCAGAAAACTCAAGGCTTTCAGCGTCCCTCAAATCCGCTACCCTTGTACAAGGGTAGCGGATAACCCTTTACAAGGGTAGCGGATTTGCATATCTGTACTAGTGACCGGGAGGTGATCTTAGTGTATAAGTGTCTGTGTCATCGTACTTAATTTGCTTAGTAATTAATCTTGATCAGGGCTTGTGCCCTATAAATTCAACCGCATTAACAATTCGTTGTCTTCTTGCATTTTGTCATTATAGGTGTTATTTAGTGCATTATTGGTGTTAGTCTGTGCATGATTGAAAAAGTGAACTAAATGAATAAATTTTCCCTAACCTAGGCGTGATGCATCGAGTCCAGCTAGTTGATGATAGTCGTAGTATGCATGGAATGGAAAGAAGGGTTGGGAAATGTGAAGCTTCTCCGGCACGTCATTCTTTAAGGATGGCGAATGGGATTAAACAATGTGCGGCTAAGCACAAGTGCGTAAGAACCGTAGAAAGCTAGGTCTCAAGAGCATTATCAAAGTAACAAGTAAAGCAACAAGTAATTGTAAGGAAGCAATTAAATTAATGGAGGGGACTAGGACAAGGTGTTCCTTGATTGGATGCAATAGAATGACCCTAAGTATAGGAAGTAGTGTAATGCATTGATCATGATTCTTGGGAGATGTTTCCATTGTCAAGCCACTCTCGTGGTCTAATTGGTCTATCAAGTTGTAAAATCCTACTCTCATAGCAACCTTACTACTTGAGACATTTCATTGAACGCTTAAAGTCCACATCTTCTTCAGAGCTCTACCTCTCGTGCAATGTGGGAAATGCAAGTGGATTAGGCTATAGTGTAGTTCCAATCTCTTGGCAACTACACACCTCCAATCAAGACCTATTCCATGATGTGGCCATCACCAAACAATAGTCTATACAAAATCCACTACTTCCGACAAGAATCAAGTCAATACATTTATTTACCCAAAAAAAAATAATAATAATAATCAAGTCAATACATCAAGTCACTTGCTAATTGCAATCAAAACATTCTAGCATCCTAACAAGTAAACCTAATCCTAATTCCTTAAGAATTAGCTAGACATTGTCACACTGCGCTTGAATATATAGCTAAGATGAAGAATCAATGGAAGCATTTGAAATGAAAGTAAATTGCAATTGAAATGAACACTTAGCTTTGATTATGGAAATAGGAAGATCAAATCTAAAATTGAAGGTTGAAAAGCAATTACAAGTGGATTCTTCCTATAAATCTTTAATGATGTTGATGGATTACAATGTAGAAGTGTTTGAGAGAGTTTCTATGGTAGAAGACCTAGAGAGAGAAGCTAATGGAACAAAAGATAAGTCAAAACAACCGCTCCAAACCATTTACTCGATCACGAAGTTCGCACCCAAAATAATCGTCTCAGATCCGCTTTAGGGCTCGCGGTCACGGTCAAGTTCACGCCGTGATCGACATGACCGTGACTCTGCCCTACAGCTTGCAGAAGCACTTCTACGAGTTGCTCAGCATGGTCACGGTAGAGTTCATGACGTTAACCCCATCATGACCACCCCCATGGGAACTTTGGACTCGGCCGTCTTCGCTCCCTTGCTACGTGCCATGCTCTTGAGCTTTCGTTTTGCCCTTTTTGCATGGATTTCTTCAAAAATTATTGTTCTTTTTTCAATCTTGTGCATGCCTAGGACCACTCCATCCTTCCTACCATAAAAGACGCACACACCAAAAGCCACTCATAATACCAACATTACCCAAAGATTTAGCCAATAGAAAGAATATATAGAGCACAATTATATTGTAAGCTAATTTGTGGCTTACTAGTATTTCACCAAGCTAAGCAAAGTTGCATATATCAAATATTTAAGAGTAGGGACATAATATTTTCCATATTATTATGATTACAGGACACATTTCATTGATCATAGACCTTACAAATACTCTTACATAAATTAAACATTGGAAGGAAGCTTACATCAAGACGACTACAAAAGAAATTAAACAAGCTACCATCATACATATATATATATCAAATTGATCAAATTAAACAACCTCGATCAGAAGCCTTGTCAGCATGGTGAAAAGGTAAGCACACATAGTTGCTACCAAAATCCAAATCCCCCTCTGCTAAGGCCTTGCAGTAGATATACAGAACCACGTTCGCAGCAAACGCATGAAGCATGAGTTGAGCCTCAAAAACTATATACAACACTGCCTGAAATACATGGGTCCAGCTCCAATGCCCATTAGGCGCACCCACCATCATCATCATCATCAGGTAAGTCATAAACAAGCTCGGAATACCGAAATATAGCAATACACACAACGCTACTCCTCTCATCCCCTTCACTAACTCCCCACTTCTCCTCAAGACTTCATACCCCCATTTTGATTCCTCCACCACAATCACATACGCTAGGCACCACTTCACCTGTAGCCATAAAACCATGGATACAAGAAGCAGCACCAACATAATTACCAAAACCTTAAAACTAATCGAAAACCCGTCGTAATTATTCACTTCAACAACACCCAAAATTTGAAGCCCGGTTATCAGAATCGCGGCCAAAATCCCGAAAACCGTAGCGATGCAAAACACAATTGTTAGAGAGACAAATTGGGTTGCAAGTAGAGGCAAGAAAGAGTGCAACAGGGACTTGATTGAAGAAGCAAGCTTCAAGGGTCTACCGTAGAACCCGTTGAAAGTACTGTAGGTGATAGTGCCCAAGGCGCAAAGGGTGAAGAACAGAGAAAAGAGGTTGAAGAGGAGGGGTAGGAGGATCGGTTGGGTTGATCGGTTTCTAGTCGGGTCAACGGGGAAGAGGGGTAGCCATTGTCGAGGGTAGAAGCCATCATGGTGGGAAAGGGCTAGGTAGATAACGCTGGAGAAACACAAGGGAAAGAGAAAGAGAAGTGAAAGCGAGAAGAAATGGCGGTTGTGGGCTCTGATTATCCGTCTGGCTTCAGAGATCACTGCCCAGACGGAGAAGCCTTGTGCACCAGGCGTAGTAGACATGAGATCAGAGAGATTATGTTCAAGAAGATGATTGTAATTTGTAAGTTGAGAAGAGTTTTCTATTTTCAAATTGGGAAAATAGCAGTAATAAACATGTTTTCTTGTTTTCTTATTATTAAATTTCCAAAGTTTCTAGAAAATCAGGAAAAATTCTTGTTAGTAAACGCCACCTATCATTCCCTAAAAATACAGCAAAAATGCTTACGAGAGCACCATAGTCTCTATATATGACTCTGTCAATGTGTGGACATTTTCTACCCACCCGGTCCGACTTCTGAATCTTTCATACGGAAAAGTATTTGCATTCAAATAATCTAATAATCTAGCGTGGAAAAAATTATCATTTCCAACCATATTATTTTCATTCACACCATAGTGGCAACCATTATTGCATGGACCATAAATAAAAGGTACATTTTTAATATGAGTTAATATAATTTGAGATCCTTTGGGTATAATAGTTTTGTCACGTTTAATCCTAAACTTTCAAATTGATTATCTGTGGTCCTTTGACTTTCAAATTTAACCATTCGTGGTCCAAGTTAACCATCTATGGTCCTTCAACTACTAAATTTTAACCAACAATGGTCGTTTCAAGAGGACCACGGCGGGTTAAATTTTAAAACTCGAAGGACCATCGGTGGTTAACATGGACCACGAATGGTTAAATTTGAAATTCGAAAGATCACATATGGTCAATTTGAAAGTTTAGGACTAAACGTGAAAAAACCACTATATTCGGAAGACCTCATGTGGCATCAACTCTTTTTAATATACTAAGGGTACATTATTTATGTACGTAAGGTACATTTTTGAAAGTACGTTTTTAATATACTAAGGGTACATTATTTTATATAACGCACCTTTAGTACATAAATAATGTACCTTCAATAGAAAAATAATGTACTTTTAATATATTAAAAAATGTACCTGATATTCATGGTCCACACAATTATGTGGACCATAATTTACCCCATAGTGGCCAACAGGCCAATACCGTTATCCATGGCAAACTTTACTATTGACTGCGTTCCACCTAGCAACTTGGACCAGATAGAAAACTGACATCATTTGAACTTTTTTCCATTAATCATAGTTAGAAAATTTCGTTATGATCCATATAGCACACTCTTTTATTATTCTATTTCATTTTATACCTACTATAATTCCATTACGATTGGTTGTCCATACATCTTAGTCATTGGTATGAGAAGTCTCACTTAAAAAATATGCTTTGGTCACAATAAGCTTGGCATGGCTTGAAGCCATTATATTTTAAAGACCTATTTAGTATACATGCCATTAAAGAGACTTTTTTTAGGTCCAAAAAGTATCAAAGAAATATGACTTTAGGTTACCCTTGTTCAAACAATGATAATTTATTGTTTAAAAAAAACGTGGTGGCATAATTGTAAAAAAAATAACAACAAATCAGTACCCTTTTTAAACAAAGAGGTTGCGGAAAGTTTATTAATATAAAATTAATATAACTTTCCGCAGTGGAAAATTTATTCATATAAAATTAATAAAATTTTTCAAGAAAGGCCAGGGTAACCAGAAGTCTACGCCAGATCTAAAATCTGGATCGCGAAAAAGCTTAGTTTTCAGGCACCTCTTCTCTCCTTTATGTCGTCACCACCGACTCCACCGCCTCTCTAAACCACCAACGACGCCGCCTCCGCCTGCCATCGTTTCAGCTTCCGTGATGGCCACCGTTGTCCACAGTCG